GCTGTGCATTCGGTGCACGCTTACAATCGGGTACGCCTGCCCGATGAGGTCCTCCTTGACCAGCTCGACGTCGAGCTCCTTCGGTACTCCGCGTATTACTACGCGGAGCTCGCGATCCTCCTGGAGCGCATAAGTGTGGAAGCTTATGCGTTCCTTTCGGAGGTGTTGCTCGCGCCGCATTTTTTGGGTATTTATATAAATTTTCTTCGTTCGGCTGATGGTTGTACGTTTACGTGGCATCGAAAGGTTTGAACGAATGAATCATTAAGAGAGTAGAGTCGAGTAGAGTCGGGCAGTCGGGCGGGGTCCGGCGGCCGGTAATCGGTGTAATAGCAAACAAATAAGAAAGAAACAAGAAGACAAGCATAATATTAATAATAATAATAATCATCATAGTAGCAGTATGAAACGAAACGAATAGAAAATAGAATAGAATAGTATGAAGAACGAATAATTTGTATGAATAGAAAGCACGTGTGAAATTGTGTGTGTGTGTGTTAAAGCAATACTAAAAATAATGAATAATGAAACAAATTAACGAAAAAATAATAATAATATATAGGTACTATTATGTATAATCGAATAGAATTACCCTCTACGTAGTATATGATATATATCTATTTATTTATTTATTTATTTATTTATTTATTTATTTATTTATTTATTGATTAGGTGTAATATAGTAATTGATTGAAATAATTGTTAGCCCTGAAAAGGGCTGTTGTATATCGATGCGTGCCGTGTGTAATCTTCGCGTCTTCATCGTCGTCGTCGTCGTCGAACGTCGATCGAGTTAGACACAAACATACATTATTTATTATAAGATGATGATGATTAGGTGACTGGCACACACACACATGGTTGGTTCGTTTTAATATATTTGTATGTATTTTTAAATCATTGTGTGCTGCTGCTGTTGTACCCAATGAATCACTTCTTCGAAGCGGCGGACGCTTTTTTGGCCGAAGGTTTCGTTTTAGGCGTCGAGGCGGTGGCCTTTTTCGGTTTAGGCGCTTTCGGTTTCTTTGTTGGTGGTTTAGCTGTTTTCTTAGCTTTCGGCGCGCTCTTGGCGGCCGCAGCTTTAGCGCTCGCTCCAGACTTCCTAGCAGCGGCGGCGGGCTTCTTTTTCGCGGCGGCGGCAGCTCTTTTCTCCTTTACCGAAACTGCGGCGGTTGCGGCAACCGAAGATTTACCTTTCGACGGCGATGAAGCTGACGCTGCAGCCGCTTTCTTTCCGGCCCTGCCGGCAGCCGCCCCCGAAGAAGTCGAAGCGGCACCACCGGCGCCGGCCCCTCCCTTCTTGTTGCTGCTGCCGCCTTTAGACGCTGCCGAAGCGGAAGCGGACGAAGCGTTGCCCTTTGCTGCCCTTACGGAACTGCCACCGGACGCACCACCAGATCCGGAACCGGGTTTCTTCGAAGCGGAGGTCTTCGATTCCAGTTTAAAAGATCCGGAAGCTCCCTTGCCTTTAGTCTGTATTAGAGTACCGGATTCGACGGCGTTCTTCAGATACTTTCTTATGAACGGTGCTAATTTTTCAGCATCCACCTTGTACTGGGCCGCTATGTATTTCTTGATTGCTTGTAAAGAGAGCCGCTGCGCTCCTTGAGTTCGGCAATAGCGCTGTTCACCATTTCCGACGTCTTCGGATGGCTCGGTTTAGCTTTAGGTTTCTTAGCGCCCGCGGAAGCACCACCACTCGCGGATGTTTTTGGTTTTTTGACGGGTGTAGCCGGAGCTGGAGTTTCAGTCCCAACAGCGGTATCTGCCATCGTTGATGATTATATTATTATTGTTGTTGTACACGCACACACAAAACACAAGAGATTCCAATATTATTATTAAGCACAGGCAGAATAATGAATCGGAAAAATGAAAATGTTTACACCTTACAGATGTCGCCACGATCGGTTAGTTTTGAACCCGCGCCGATCTGTTACCGTAACGAGAACGCTAAAAACGCGATACGTTTTCGTGTACCAATTCTTGAAACTTTTCACTAACACATCTCACGTCTTTTGTATTTTTTTCGATATTATTAAAGACACGTAATTATTCTATCGAATTTAGATTAAACTACACGAATCCTTGAATCTACTGATGTACGATTCGTTATGATCCGATCGTATTATAAAATAATATTAAACTTTTAACAACGCTATCTCGTCGATTGCACAGGTAGTGTTAACTTTATTATGATATTTTACATATAAAACGAATAATAATTATATATTTAATGAATAATATATAACCCTCTTCGTATACTTTTAAGGTTGAACATATTTTTTTATGAAATATAAAAGTTTTCATAGGTTAAAATGATGATCAATCGAGAGGTACGTAAAACAGATTCAAACTTTCAAGTTTCGGAACGCGCGAGCGGAATGTTCTATTCTGGTTGCTTGTAAAGTTTTTTTTTTTTTCTTTTTCTTTTAACAATTTTTTTTTTTAATATATATATATATATTAAGTACCTATGTACAATGAGATTTCACGCTATCAATATAAATCAACAATTATAATGATAATAATAAAAATGTTGTACATACCTATACTGTCTTAAATACGCATTTACGTGGTGCTAAAAGGACTAGAAATAAACGAAAATTTTTGCACGCGACGACTGCACTATACTAAAGTTTTAATAAAACTAGTTATATATCTTACTAATAATATAAAATAATAAATAATGATTTGTACTATTAGGTCGGACACGTACCTGTACTAATTGCATCCATGTGAGTTTTCTTCTGTTTGAAACTAATATAGTCAAGTAAAAGAATAAATAAAGTTTAATAATAAAATTAACCTAATGAATCGGGAAAAAAAAGGCAAGTTTTCTCATAATAGATAAAAATGCGGCCCTGAAAAGGGCCTTTGTTTGTTTGTTTGTATTCGAGAACGAAAAATTTAATAATAATTAAACGAACCAACGTCACTTGCGATTGATTTACAACATCAACGACAGCAAAAAGTTCTTGAAACATGTTTCTAGATGGTCCACGTCGTGTGTTGCTTGCTTGCTTGCTGTCACCGCTGTTGTCAGTTGTCAGTCATTGCTCGGTTGTCCGTGTAATTAAAAAAGAAATTGAATCGTTCTCGAGACAAAAAATAAAAATAAAAAATCGTCGATGAAACTTCTTTAACCGCCGAAACCGTACAGGGTGCGACCTTGGCGTTTCAGAGCGTACACAACATCCATAGCGGTGACGGTCTTCCTCTTGGCGTGTTCGGTGTATGTGACAGCGTCGCGGATCACGTTTTCGAGGAACACTTTGAGAACGCCGCGGTCTCTTCGTATATAAGACCGGAGATACGTTTCACTCCACCTCTGCGAGCCAAACGACGGATAGCCGGTTTCGTGATGCCCTGGATGTTATCACGCAACACCTTCCTGTGACGTTTAGCGCCCCCCTTTCCAAGACCTTTGCCTCCTTTACCGCGACCGGTCATCTTGACGAACTTCTCGGTTTGTGTTTTGTATTAGTAGTAGCAGCAGACTTTAACGCGTTGCGCGACGAACGACGAATGAGCCTCCGAAAATTACGTTCGGACCTATATTTATACGCTGCGCCTGTGCGCGCAACCACGGACGATTCTTTGAACGTTGTAAAGCGACGCGGGGAGGGGGTAATATTCACAACGACGTTGTCTTCTTAGTTTATCGAATCGAACGTTTGAATACAATTTACTATATCACAATTATATCTGAAATAGTTATATATATTATTTATTTATATATTTACGTTCAACGTATATTTAATTTAATACGACTACGGTATACGGTATATGTTATCGTAATACATAATATAATATATTATACAATGAAACGGGTAAGTTAAAAATAATAATAATAAATAACAGTAGGCAGTGTGTATTCTGTTATATGAATGAATTGCGGCCCTGAAAAGGGCCTTTTTTGTTTCTTCATAATAAAATCAGCATCGCGAGACGGCGTAGTAAATTAAATAATAACACACATCAATCAATCAATCAATTAATTTGGTCATCAACAAATAATTTACGCACGTTCACCTCTGATTCTGCGGGCGAGCTGTATGTCTTTTGGCATTATTGTCACACGTTTCGCGTGAATAGCGCAAAGGTTCGTGTCCTCGAAGAGACCGACCAGATACGCCTCGCTGGCTTCCTGCAGGGCCATCACCGCCGAACTCTGAAAACGGAGATCGGTCTTGAAATCTTGAGCTATCTCACGGACGAGACGCTGGAAAGGCAGTTTGCGAATCAAGAGTTCCGTGCTCTTCTGGTAACGACGAATCTCACGAAGGGCGACCGTCCCGGGCCTGTAACGATGAGGCTTCTTGACACCTCCTGTTGCCGGTGCGCTCTTACGAGCGGCCTTGGTCGCCAATTGCTTGCGAGGAGCTTTACCTCCGGTCGACTTACGAGCAGTCTGTTTGGTACGCGCCATTTCGAGACGACGAGTTCACGACGTAAACGTACGAGTAATAGATAGGTAGGTAAGTAAGTAAACGATAATACGTCCGCGTCCGCGCGCTACGAACGAACGAGATACACTAAAAATGTCGGCGTCACTACCCACTCGTATTTATACTTTTTTGAAGTCACGAATCGAACGGGCTCGTTTTGCTCTATTGTATGGAGATGCGTGCTCGCACGCATCTCCATACAATAGAGCGAGACGGATATATTCAAAATTTAATGTGTTTTAATTGTTATTATTAAATATATTATAATATCTATTTCTTATACATAGGTACATATATTGTTTATTTATTTATTAATAATAATTTAATGATTTTACTTTTTATACATCACACATTACATTCACTTTTGGTTATTAGAATACTACTGCTACAACTAATATTATGATTTAATAATATATAAAAATCGGTGTGTGATGCATGATAGGTATATTGGTATTTGAGGTATATTAAAAATAATAACAACAATATGTAATATATTTAATTCTTATAAATAGATCGTATATTAATAATAATAATCATTTTACTGATAGATTTTGCGGCCCTGAAAAGGGCCTTTTGTCGATGTAAATGCAACCGAAACACGCATACGAACAGCGTACGGTCGTGCATCAGTTTTGTGAGTTTGAAATAATTACCGAAGTCATGAAGAAAGTTACTTGGAGCTCGTGTATTTCGTGACGGCTTTGGTTCCTTCACTGACCGCGTGCTTGGCGAGTTCACCCGGTAACAACAATCTCACTGAAGTCTGAACCTCCCTCGAGGTTATCGTCGAACGCTTGTTGTAATGGGCGAGACGAGAAGCTTCTGCAGCGATACGTTCGAAGATGTCGTTCACGAACGAATTCATGATCGACATGGCTTTACTCGAAATACCGGTGTCGGGATGGACCTGCTTCAGCACTTTGTAAATGTAAATGGCGTAACTTTCCTTCCTCTTGTGCTTCTTC